CACTAATACAGTATAACAAATAGCTGTGGTTCAGTAGAACATTAAATTCTTTTTGAAATGTGTTTAAAAGTATTTGTGTAAAACAGAAGTTATCTTTTGTAAAATAAAAAAATGTTTTAGAATTGAACTTAACATTAAATATGTCGTAAAGAAACATAAAACCTTCAAACAGCAACTGAACAGGATCTAAGCTCATTTACTTCTGATTTGAAAGGTGACGCACACACACACACACACAGTTTACCAGGGACGTACACAGACAGACGTCAGGTGGTGCTTGAGCACCTGCCCTGTTCCCTCCAGACCATCATTTGCCCCTGTCGAACCCGCATTTTTTTTTTTATTATGCTCCATCTGTCGCCCTTGGTTGCACTTCTTATTAAGTGTATACAACTATAATGGCAACAGTATTAATATTATTAAGAATAATATTGCCCTCACACCCTCCCTTCACCACACACACATGCGCTCCCACAGAGCTCACTCCTGTGCTGTCCCTCGGTGAACGCGCTGCGCGCTCGTGCAGGAGGAGAGCTRCTGAAGCAGCTCCTCTCTATAATCAGCAGGTAATTTACCCCCAGGCAAACTGTGCTGGACTGTCTCGCATTTTTCACTCTTGTCCATGCGCCGCGCAAGTTGAAACAAAGTCCGCATTCCACTGATCAAATTATGTCAAGACAAAAAAAGAAGAAAAAAAAGGGAAACAATCGACAGACGTTTTTTATTGGCTGCAATTTACAACCATTAGAAAATAGATCCTTATTTCTCTCTCTGCCTTCTATGCAGAAGGAGGAGGAGAGAAGAGAAAAAGGCAAAGACGCAGCAGCTGCCAATCAAACACACGCAGCAGCGTGTCCTGCGCGCCGCCGCCACTAACAAATATCTAAACACGTGAAAGAAAATGGATTTTATTTATGCAGAATGTGACGGAAACTATGTCAAAAATGTAGCAAAATAATAACTGGAAAATAGGTGATGAAAGTGAAAGATGATTCTCAGAGAGAAAATTGCCAAACTTTTTTTTCCTGAAGGAAAACACATCGTGAAGCAGCTGTCTGTAAGAGATTCACACAAGAAACACAGCAAGATCATCTGACCTGCTTATGGTTTTATTTTTTATCATGATAAAATAAAAAAAGAAATAAACTTTAAATATTTTTAACCAA